ATCTTTTGCTGTAATGTTCTTTCCAATTCTGACAAAACTATTGTTGCACATACTTGTGTTTTGATTTCTTATGACAAAGCATATTGACCCTTACTCAGTAGATCAGTTGCAAGTCAATTGTCTGCATTTCAGGAGGCTACAGGTTGACCACTGAATGTCAGATCATATCAAAGCCATCAACAATTGAAAAATTAGAGTATAGCAGAGTTTTTTGACGAATGAGGGATAAAATGGCATGCAGTCTCTTTGCTCCTGATCCTACCGTTTTTATAAAATGGTCATCTGGGACTTGTTTTCTACGGTTACCTATGTTATGATCTTATAGCAGCAGATAGATCTTAGTTAGTACAACTGTTACTGACTTAGGGCATTGTATGTTCCAACTATGTTAACAGCAGTTCGCTTCTGGTAATTGTTTCCTTGAAGCACATGTAAGTTCCAGTCTACTCAGCTGTACAAATGGATATAGTATATATACTCCTGTGAAAGACAGGCGTCCTTTAAGAGGGACACAATGACTCTTAGTCGCTTCACAACATGGAAGTACATTTTATCGTATTTTGGGATCGCATATATTTAGTAGCCAAATATGTGAGACCATCGTACAAGAAGCAAAGGTATATGGTAACCAGAAAATGCAGCTGTGTCTTGGAGAAAAAATAGTGTACTGAAATTGTCGACTATGATATTAAAACTGTAATTCGTCAGAAAACCAGTAAAAGTAGCTCAATGAAGCATGTCTCTATAGCTCTCTAGTCACAAAAAGTTGGTAGAACCAGATGTGCCATACATAATCTGTATTGTGAGCATTTCTTTCTGTGGTCAATACCGGTCATTTTAGGTCAAGCATGCCAAAAGTTTCAGGGGAGCAGTATAAATACCTAAACGTGTTTTATGGGCCAATAAAGAAACTTCTTCATGACCTTGTTTGCGGTCAGAGAAACTCCAGACCAACAGGAACTGACCAGTTACAAACAACACTGGACTTGGTTATGTCCTACGGTAATAATTAAAGTGACCAGCTATCAAAAGTAAAACATTCTATGTGACAGAGTCATCTCCCCTTGGACACGGAATGATCCGACAGATTTACAACTATCCAGAAATTATAAAAAGCTGAATATAAATTTACCTGTTTGCAGTCAAATGCAGCCTTATTGCTAAGGTATATAATAATCAGAACCTATCTTTTTTTCTTGCAATAATTCAGTGGATCATATTTGAAACTATCGAAAACTGTCCCCACTTTTGTTTTTATAGAAATGTAAGAAATTAATTCCCGAGTAATCAATAACAATTACAATAAAATTAAGTTTTGTTTTATAGCACAAACTGAGCGATGTAATCTATATATGTACAATACACAGAACGATATTTATATCATGTTAAATTGTAAACAACATGGTTACAAGTTGTAAGATCTGTCGAGGTTGCCTCCCTTACATTGCATATAAAGTAGATTATGTACATGAAAGTTAAGAACGTAAAGTTAAAGGAGATATTTTGCATTTATTTGGATTATTGATGCATGACCATGACAATTTTGTTCATTTCATTCATGAAATGTTCAAATGTGTTTGTTCTCGGGGAAGAAAGTCTGCCGAAACAAATTTCCTCCATTTCAGGAAAACTTATTTTTTAAAGGTCAAACTCATTTTGACATATTCAATTTTAGCCACAAATGTTTGGCTGAGAGTAGATTTGTAACCAGGACAGGGTGATATATATGTGAAATACCACACAAGTTAAAGTTACATATAGATGACAGGGGATATAATTGCCCAGCTAAGCAATAAACCCTACAGATGGATGACACTATAATACATGCTCCAGTGAGCTACATAACATACATTTATCAGTTTTAAATTGAATCACAGAGGCTCCAAATGATAGAAATCTGTTAAAATACTCATAAATCCTCACAATGGTACCTACTCACATTTAAAGCGCTTGCACATTTTTTTTTCTTTCGTTTTTTGGAGAATTTAATAGGGCAGTTTGTATGTACATACAGATTTGGGTATGTGTAGGTATATACGTGTTGATGGCGGTAATAGTTTTATAACATGGGTCATTTCTGATCGGATGTAACTGGATACAGGATCATGGATAGGATTGAACGGTACATGTATAGCAGGAAATACAAGGGTAGGTACATTCTCTACTATAGAAGCTTGGGTATATACAGATAATATATGGAGGTGTACAGTGTGTTAGCTAGGGGCTTGGGCACAGGTATTTTACAGGTGTGTGTTACCTGTACTACACGGAGCACCTGTAAGCAATTTTCAAAATTTGTGAAGATTGATCATATTTGGAAAAAAAATAAACTGACCATCGCATAAATGTCATAAATATACATAAGTATGATAAAAACATGGAATGTAAGCATTCATAATTACCAAGAATAGAAGTGAAATATTGCCTGGCATTCTATAGATTTTGTATAAAGGGTGTGAGAACAAGGTTTTCATGATGATTTGATAGGTAACAAAATTCTACTTTATTTTGCCCCGCCTGCTTTATGGACTTGTAACACTGATGTGTGAACAGCAAATGGGAAAGTGAAAAGCAACGTCACTGTGATTTTTATTTTTTACCTGATCTGTAAATATATAAAAAATGTAAACATCAGTGGATATTTTATTTTTTAAAACATGAAAATTAGATCAAAAATACACTCAAACCTGTAAAAAGATACCACCCTTTTGACAAAGTTATCATGTTTTTGAAACCATTAGTCCTTTCTTTTATCTATGTTTCAACCAAGGAAGGACTACCCTGTATTATAAATGGCAGTCTTGCAAGACAGGTTCCCCTGTAGTGACAGAACGATATTGGTCTCTCAAGACATTCACAACTGTAGTGACAGAAGGATATTCAGGTCTCTCACGACATTCACAACTGTAGTGACAGAAGGATATTCAGGTCTCTCAAGACATTCACAACTGTAGTGACAGAATGGGTGATCTCTCAAGGCAGGTTATGTACTGACAGAATGGATGGTCTCTTAAGGCAGGTTCTGATGAAATGGCAGGATGGGTGATCTCTCAAGGAAGGTACTGTATTGACAGAAGGGGTAGTCTCTCAAGGCAGGTTATGTACTGACAGGAGGGATGGTATCTCTAGACAGGTTCAGTATGGACAGAAGGAATGGTATTTCAAGACAGGTTCTGTACTGACAGAAGGGATGGTCTCAAGACAGGTTCAGTATGGACAGAAGAGATGGTCTCTCAAGACAGGTTATGTAAGGACAGTAGGGATGGTCTCTAAAGACAGGTACAGTATGGACTTAAGGGATGGTCCCTCAAGACAGGTTCTGTACTGACAGAAGGGATTGTCTCTCAAGATAAGTTTTGTAAGGACAGTAGGGATGGTCTCTAAAGACAGGTTCAGTATGGACGGAAGGGATGGTCTCTCAAGACAGGTTCAGTATGGACAGAAGGGATGGTCTCTCAAGACAGGTTCAGTATGGACAGAAGAGATGGTCTCTCAAGACAGGTTATGTATGGACAGTAGGGATGGTCTCTCAACACAGGTTCTATACTGACAGAAGGAGTGGTTTCTCAAGACAGGTTTTGTATTGACAGAGTGGATGGTCTCTCAAGACAGGTTCTGTACAGATAGTTGTGGTGGTCGCTCAAGACAGGTTCTGTACTGTCAGAATGGGGTTGTCTCTAAGGCAGGTTTAATCTCCTATACTGACAAAAATAATGGTCTCTCAAAACAGGTTCTACTGTAGTTAGAGAAGGGATGGTACCTTATGACAGGTTCTACTGTAGTAAGAAAGGGGTTGGTATCTTATGACAGGTTCTTCTGTATTGACAAAGAGTGGAGATCGCTCTTAACAGGTTCTACTATACAACTAGTTACTTACGCTTGTACATTGCTTTGGATGTATGCTAAACAGTTCAATCATCCTTATTATATACATGTATTACTCTAAGATAGATCTGTTGAGCCCATGTGTTGTCTCTAGTGTAGAGTACAGTGTGACCAGTCTGAGTTGCTGGTATGTACAGATGTGGTACAGTGTTAGATCCCTCATCATAAACCACATTGATTGGTGTGTAAAATAGACTGCTATAGTACTAGTGCATGAAGACTTGCTCCCGTTCTATAAACCATCAATACCACATTTTATTTCATGTGTCATGCTGCAAAGATTTTTATGCCTGACCTGAATGACAAATAACATTGGTCATTGCAGAGGTGAAGATAAAATTGGTACTTAAAACAATCTGCTACTGGTATAAAAAACATATCTGAATTATTGTAGCTGAAATAAAGGTCAACATGGTAAAAATGGTTCATTTCTAAGGCATCAATTAATTATAGAAGTGACATGTGGATCGAAATAATGAAAAACAAGAACTTGTACAAGTCTATCCCTACCCATCTCAGGAAGCCCTCTCTGCCTATACAAGTGGTTAGATTTTAGGATTAAACAAAAGTGTGTTTATTTACATTTCTCTGTTCCTGGTGTATTTTTGTTGGCCACGAGAGGTAAACACACTACGGCTCTTGCCTGATTACCTGTTAAAGTGTTACCAGGTTGACCATAGGCCATTAGTTACCACTCATTCAGATTCTGTTTCCTGTCAGCAAAAATAGTCTGATTAAATGTAGAGCATTGATCACTTGTAGCTACTTAACATTGTTTTCAGCATAACTTTTATGTATTTTATGGGTGTATCACTGTTGACCAGCTCGTAGAGTGTCTGTATCGAGTTTGCAGGTTCATGGTTCAAATCCCAGTCGTATTGTTTATACACCGACTGACCGTAGTACTTGATATTTAACTTTGTTTGGCAATATTTCGCTCTTTGGGGGATGCTATCCATCATGGTAATTTTTCTAGTTTCCAAGAAGTTCTAGGCTTTCCAGGAATACCACTAAGGGCTTGTGCAATTCAAATCAAAACATAGCACATGTACAGTATTTAACGAACCCCGAATGTGCTTATCACATGGGTGCATGGTGAGGAAGGCCTCAGAATTAGAGAGATACTGTAACACTACAACAACAACAACAACATGGACGATATCATTGAGGTGCTGGTATATACACCCCTCTGGTCAGTCAGCCATACAGATACTTGTGTAATTAGGGTAATTGGAGGAATGTAAGTGAAATTAATGTGTATTTGACAAGGTGGGATGTGTCTATAATTAGGGTGTAATTGGCGGGGTGGGATGTAACGTAATTAGGGTGTAATTGGTGAGGGGAATGTAAGTGAAAGTAGGGTGTAATTGGCGGGGTGGGATGTAATGTAATTAGGGTGTAATTGGCGGGGTGGGATGTAATGTAATTAGGGTGTAATTAGCGGGGTGGGATGTAACGTAATTAGGGTAAATTAGTGAGGAGAATGTAAGTGAAAGTAGGGTGTAATTGGTGGGGTGGGATGTAACATAATTAGGGTGTGTGATTGGTGAGGTGGGATGTAAGTGAAATTAATGCTTAATCATTGAGGTGTGATGTTATGTACTTACAGTGTAAAGGATGAGGTGTGATGTATGTTAAATTTGATTGTAACCTGGAATGTGAATGTAATTAGGGTGTAAATGGTGAATAGGACCTTGTGTAATTACAGTGTAATCACCACTAATCATTGAGGTGAATTCGGTGAGGTGGGCGAGACCTGTCTGAGGTAGTACCCACAAAGATTACATCTGTACCGACCCAATTCCACATGTGTACTACCCATGTAGACAAGACAGCCACAGACTCTTACTCTTATCAACAAGCATGGAGGAGCCATATTTTGGATTTTTTTCCTGATAGTTGAAGTAGATTTTGGATGAAGTGATTGCACAGAAAAATAGCTAGTGTACCAGTGGTGGGGCACTTTACTTTAGCTGGAAGTGAGTAGGGGGGTGGGCTGGTGTTGTGGAGGTGAGAATGAACACTTTTATTCCATCTGTGCGGGATGTTCTTCTGCTTTAGTAGATCTGGAGAAATATCAAACTTGCTGGTTATTTCATTCATGGCTGTAGTAAGGAGATCATCAGCATCTTTGAAGTGTTTTTTGAAATTTCAATCAGGAATTTAAAACAGGAACCTGCCATTTTGAAGTGAAATTATTATGATGGTGTTTCATCATATTTAACCTTTACTGAGTGACTAGATTTTACTGGAGTTGTTACATTCTTTATTCTGTTGGATTCATTATATTGTCTGGTAAAGTGTTAACATATATTGTGAAGTTTGCAATAAAATGGAAACAATTTGGGGAACAACATTTTCAAAGGTAAAAAAAACACTCAGTGTTTTTGATGTTTAGGGTTGCAAAATCTTCAATCCTATGAAAAAATGTCCACAGAGGTTTTGAATCTGGTGGACCCTCAGGATGACAATGTCTTTATCAGTGACAGCGAAAATGAAAACATTTCCATGGATACCTGGTTCCCAGAGCCGGAAGAAGATTGTAAGTAGTGTAGTTTGTTATAGCCTTGCATCAGTATGAAATTCCCAGTCAGTAATTCCATATAACGAAAACAGAAACTTGTCCCCATCTTCAGATCTTCCCTTCGGGGATTTCTAGAGCTCGTTTACATTTAAGAGTTTTTCGTGCACTGAGTTAAACTTGTTTTTTACCTGCTATACAATTGCAGATTGTAAATTAAACCCAGTGTGATGAACCATTTTCAATCAAAACTTGAATTAGAAATTGTAAATGGGTAGGGTCTGGAACTACTACTTGAAGTGTTAAATTAGTTCTATGTTACGGATGCCAATGTAGTTTGATTAACGTAACAATAGTAAGGACGGAAAAAACAGCTGAATTTGATGAAATGTTTGTTAGATAAAAATATTTCTTAATGTAAAACTTGATGATTTGTTGTTGTTCATAATAGTAAAAAGTGATAAAAATAACCACATTGGTTTATAGAATGCATGAAGTATGGTAACAAACAAGGATGGTTTGCCTGCAGTTTGTAAGTGATACATTGTTTTTCTGAAGAGGATTTTTTTTTACTTCCTTCCTTTTTTTTGCAAAGCATAATACATTGCAGACAACCTGCACTTTAAAACAAAGTGTCTATCTCATTTTCCTTGACTTCTGTTCATGAAGCTGAGATAGCGTAGGAATGTTTGAGGTGAGCTGCAGTTGTGATCCTGATTAGGAATGTTTGTGCTGAGCTACACTTGTGATTACTCTGTGATTTATAGTAGTTATAGCGGCTTTATTGGTAATGCAGATTTAATTGTTTTGTGTGGTAGGAAGATAATTACTTCTGCAGTGTTTAACAGCAGGGGTGGCTGTGGCTGTAAGGGGGGGGGGGTGCTGGCTGTCTTCAACCTGCTCCTCCTTACTACCGCCCACTGTAACTCCCCCTCCCCCCTTCCCAGCACTAACCCAGACCCTTTGGGGTCCTGGAGGAGGACTTACCATAGGTTATGAATTAAATTATAAGTCATTAGCCCCTCACTGGGAGTTATGCATGTTATGCCAAGCTGTTACAAGATATAATTTGGAGCTATCTATCACTGCCAGGAAGCCATTTTTCCAAGAGTTTTCGCATACTATTATGTGAAGTTGGAGTTTTATTTTGACAGTTATGGGTTTGGGTAGTCTGTAAATAATTGTCCTGGTTTGTTTCATTGAGTCCCTTTATAATGTTAGCACCTGTTTACTGTGAACTTCTGTTATATGACCACCCTTTTCCATTGAAAACCTGTATATTGTGACCATCCATCTTGGTTTTGTTCGTACAGCCAACATTATGATGTTCTCGCATCAACCTGCCAGTGCTTGGGGGACAGATTTTCATTTAAGAACTTTATGCAGATTTATTTTCACTAGGCTTTGATTTCAATTGTGCAGTACAGGAAGTCTGTTAATTCAACAGGACAGTTACCATTTCTATGGAAACAACAAATTCAACAGGGCATGAAAACATGGTTGTCAGATAACTTTGCATGAAATTCAAAACTTATCAGTTTTTAATTTGTGTCAGTAATCCAAAATTTAAAGTTGATAATCAAACCACAAGCTAGAAGCAGAGGTAACTGGATTCACAAGGCTCTCAAAATGTATATCTCTGTATAAAGACCACCTGTATAAGCTTGTGGTTAGAATATATATTGGGGTGTTATGTACTCTTCTTGTGGTAGGGATATTGATGGGGAGTGGGGAAAGGAGGGTATAGGTCAAAGTGATGGGGAGTGAGAGTCGGTGGGGATGGGGAGTGGGGATGGGCGGTTATAAGTCAAAATGGTGGGGAGGGAGAGTGGGATGGGTTATAGGTAAAAGTGTCGGGAAGGGAGAATGGGTGGGGGAGGAGGAGGGGGGTTATAANTAACTTACCCACACTGGGCACAGACAGTCATTATGTAATAATATGAACTGAAAGTTGTCGTCTTTAGCTGACGACTGAAATCCAAATAGAGTCTGCTGTTTTTTTCCATCATTTATGATCAATTATGCAGTATAGCGATAATCAGCCCCGAGGATACCGATAGTCCAGCTACGCACTCGGGTATTATCATAGGACAGTGCGGACTCATTACCTCCCGTAGTAATTATATTCGCCGCTTGGTGCGCTGCATGCATTGTTTACTACCGTATTCCGTCATTTGCGGGAAATTCTGACAATCGCTTTCAATCTCTGAATATCATCATTTAAAATACAAACATGCTACAAAAATGACTTAACATTGTACAAAATTATTGTGTGTACACTCACGCTTAGTATGAAGAATTTGAACCGAACCGAACCGATTTCCGGAAATCCTTATCGGTGATTCGATTCGAAAGTTCTGATTCGCGAAGCACCGATAATTTCGGTGCACCGCACACCCTTAATGGGCGGTTATAAGTCAAAATGGTGGGGAGGGAGAGTGGGGTGGGTTATAGGTAAAAGTGTCAGGAAGGGAGAATGGGTGGGGGAGGAGGAGGGGCGGTTATAAGTCAAAGTGGTGGGGAGGGAGAGTGGGTGGAGGGAGGATAGGGAGTCTTGAAGTGACATCGTGGTGGGATAGAGGGGTAGACAGGGGAGGTTATAAGTTTGACAGGACTAGCTCTTTAGTTAAAACTATATAGTTGTTGTGTGGACAACCAGCATATTAAAACAGCTTAAACAAAGGTTGTATGATGTTTCATACACCTACTTTTTTTCCTTGCTCAGTTGTTCAAATCTAGTATATTTTCAAAAGTATTTAAATCCAAAAGTGAAGGTTCATGTTTTACAGATTCAATTTTATGATCTGAAGGAAGGTAAGATATTAATACGAAATAATTTTAAATAATATTGGTTTGAAAATTAATGGTAATGACTCATTAACCATTTCAACCCTATGTAACTTAAATAAACTCGACCTTGCATTGGTCTGGATGAGTCCATTATCCTGTACAGTGGCGAAAGGGTTAAGCTAACCAGACTTAAACAACTGGATCGAGAGCATTTATTGGTACAAGTCTCACCAGACAAAATCATTTCTGTTTACAGAAAGCAAATTGGAATGATCCTTGTGTACGAACTCATTACCTTCCACACAAGATAGCATGTTATCTGGAGCAAGAGCGAAAAAAACGCACATTCTATAACTATGCTAGATGTTGTTAAAAATAAATTATGTTTTTCTTGGGCCCCTACCAGGTTTTTGGTCACTGAAAGTTGTATGTTAACTATGCCACTGTATGCCTCTACCATTACACTGTATTTACCTTGTATGTAGTAACATCACGAACTCTCAAGGTTGAACGACAAATCACTGTTTTTGTTATATTGTACTCTTCTGGCTAAAAGATTTGCCAACAAAAATTAAAATTGTATTTCTACAGACTATTTCATGATTTTCAATAATCTTCCCAGAGATCAAAGGGAATCTTTGTTAAAGAAGAATGGATTGAGTTGTAAAGACATGCATGTTGAATGTAAGTTACATTCATTGAGGCTTGCTCATTATATTAGCAAAGCCTACTTCAAAATAACAAAGTAATATTGGTTCCTATTATGAAGGAAGTTGTACTGCATATGCCCTGAAATAGAATTTGTGGACATACTCTCAGCTGTGTATACACCCAATAATTTCCTCAAGGTATCAAGAAATTGTGCCGGTGAAGTCACAATAATAGCAGACTTGTACCTTACACCCCCTTAACTACGGAATTGACTCAACCGTCAGTGGAATATGTTGATCCATAACCAGTCTGTAGGGGTATCACATAGATTTGAAAGGAAATGATAACAGCACAATTTTGATGGATCTATTTTGATGATAGGTATCAAAAAGTTACATGGCACTTAAAAAAGTTTAACACTAAGGGAAGTTAAGTTTGAAATTGACAATTTACACTTCCCCGAGATATCAGGAATCTCCTTTTGAAAAACGATAGATAAAATCTTAGTAGAGAGCTAGTTTGTAGCTTTATAAAGAAACATCTTATCACCTTTTCCTTCTAGTTTGATTTCATTCATACACAGCATAAGATAGGGAAGTCATAAAGCCAACACAACTGTTGAGTGTTCCCATAGAACACCTTTAACTCAGGAGATGGAAATGTCAGAAAAAATATGTCTGACTGTATTACCGATACAGTAAATATCAGAAAAAAATAATTACGTACAGAATGCATCTGGCACTTTGTTTAACCCTTTCACCACTGCAGACCATAATGGACTCATCCAGATCAATGCATGGTAGAGTCTACTAAAGAAATACAATTAACAGTTAGATTTGTTTATTTGGCAGATATTGTTAGGTCACCTGAGACAAAGTCTCAAGTGACCTATTGCGATCGCCTTTTGTCCGTCGTCGTCCGTCGTCCGTCGTCCGTCGTGCGTCCGTAAACAGTTTACATTTTCAACTTCTTCTCCAAAACCCCTGAACCAATTTCAATGAAATTTTGCAGGGACCTTCCATGGACAAAGGTCAACAAAAAGAGTTGCCGGTTTAGTCCTAAGTCCCCAGGGGCCTGAGGGGCGGGGCCAAAAAGGGTCAAATTGACTAAAATTTCAAA